TTTCTCTGAAAAGATAAATTATTAACAGAATAGCAAGCAGGCCAATCCCCAGTGAAAAGCATTTAAGTTGATTTTGGTACCATTTAACCTGACGAGAGAAGGCGAATCAAATTGTCATACGATTTTGACAATCCTAGTTAAAAGCCCAATGACAAGGAAAACTCACTAACTGTCAGTCAAAATTGTATATTTTTTGGTACCAATCGATAGAGCGTCATCGATTTACTATTGTAGATTTTCGGCTTTTTTGGCTAGGATTATAAAACTAAAAAGTTACATGGCTTCAAAGTTTGCCAAAAATGGGGGAGAAAAGGAACACAAGAGGACGGCCGATCTGGGAAGATAGGCAACGCTGAGGAAAAAAAAGAGAGAAGAGAAAAGGGTCAGCAACTATGCATGCCGCCTTATACCCTAAAGAAAGTAAACCTTTTAGCCAACTGTGCAAGTGATCCATCCGATCCCAAAGCCACAAAAGTCTCATCGTCAATTCCAGCTCGAATATCTGCAACGAGGTTTGCACCACTCAACGAAGGCTCATTTCTAGCTCTTTCTTTTAATTCTTGCCTTTTAATTTCTGCCAATCTTTGTTCTGGGCGAGGTAAATGAATGTGTGCATTTTTCAATTCTCCCATTAATTTGCCATCTTCCGTTTCATGTGTATATGCGCTTCCTGGACATCTTTTGGTACCACAACGCCAAAAAATATTATAATGTTTGATATTAACGTCACGATTCTTAAGGTAACGGAAACCTAAAATTCAAAAATAATTTTTGCGGACAAAAATTTTTATCCGCAAAACTTTTGCGGACAAAAAATTTTATCCGCAAAGTTATGCGGACAAAAAATTTTATCCGCAAAAGCCCTTATCAAATATAAAACTAACTAAAATAAAACAAACCTTTATACCAAATACAAAGAGCCCCTCTGCTTGTATATCCTCTACTAAATTCAACTTCTTCCTTCTCTTCCTGAACAGTTTCTTCATGCGCCGCAGGCATAACAGGTTCAATAATTTCTTCAACAACAATATCTTCAACAATTTCTTCTTCAACTTTAGGTGCCAAACGTTTTCTTTGTGACGAACGACGATTAAATTGCTCAAGTTTTAAGCGAACATCAGTACTTGGACTTTGCTTAATTTCTGTTTGTTTCCCCATTTAAAAAAAACCTTAATGATCTGAAAACTAGAAAAACAGATTAGACGAAAAAATATAAAAAAATATTTTATTGTCTTTTGAACAAAATTATTAATTAAAAAATCCCAAAATATTTATACAATATTGGCAAATATCCAGTTGACTCCCCCACCTGTCCGCAAAGAGAATACGCACTTTTCAATCTTTTCTTGCATTTTTTTCTGCAAGGAATGGCGCCCATTTTCTCCTTATTTATGGTATGACTTTTGATACATGAAAAGATAAGGTCCGTATTCTCTTTGCGGACGTGTGGAGAGAAATTTATGAATTTAAATATAAAATAAACAAATTAGCAAAGACCAGAAGAAGTACTTGGTTTTGGTTTTTTACGTCCACCACCACCTTTACTCTTGTTCAAACCTTCATTAAATTCCATAGAATCATCACCAGATTTTCCATCTTCATTAACATCAACATATAACCCATTAACATAATTTTGGACATGATGCGACAAAATATCCAAAGTATTCAAAATTGCTTGGTCAGTCTCATACGAAGCCTCGTTCAATGTATTTACAACGGTTTCTTCTTTAATTACATGCTTTCGAGGAGTTCTTTTTTTATTGTTCGAAATAGTTACTGCACGAATGTAGTCTCGTTGTTTCTCAAATTCATCCCAAAGTGCAAGAATAAAATCAGGGAGTGAAGGAAGCAATTTATTGTTAGAGCCTTGCTAAAATAAAATTTGTAATTAAATAAAAAACCAAAAACAATAAAAGAATAAAGAGATGAGTTTTATGATTATTTATAAATCCTATTGGCCATATTCCCGAATACCACAAAATGTTGAAAAATAGAAAGATGAGCTCTATGGCTATTTATATATCCCATTGGCCATATATCCCTCCCGAATACCAAAAAATGTATCAAAATCCAAAACAAAAACTCTGGGGGGATTAAATAAACCCCTTTATGAAAAACACAAAACCAGAGATCGGTAAATGTCCAGTTCGCTATCCACCTGTCTGCAAAAAAAGGCCCAAAATAACCACTCATTACGAATAAATGTAAGGAAAAAAATGCGTATTCATTTTGCGGACAGGTGAATAGCGAACTGGACATTTACCAAAGAGATCCTACTGGCCCAACAAATATTCTGGATCCTACCCAAAATCGTCTCACCATCTTCCTCTCCTAGTTAAAAATTTGAAAAAACCTTGAGGTATAATTGTGCCATTTCCATTGCAGAATTTGCATTAACTATTTCGGCTGCTACTCTTTCACTAATATTCCAAAATTCTAAAGAACAATAAGGACGATGACGTAAAGGTTGGGATTGATTTGCTGCTACAATAATTGTTGAAGAAGAATGTGGTGGGAGTTCATAGCGTATATGTTGAGAATAATTTTGATAGCCGATAGTTCTTTCTAACAAAATATTCACAAATGTCTTAAAAATTAAAAAAAACCTTCATAAACGTGTTCTTCCCCTGGTCCCGAATAAACTAAATTTTGTCCAAAATTCGATCCAAAAGCTGCTGACTTCATTCTAAATTCCTGGTCTGTCAGTCCAATAAAAGTTTGTTTGAAATAGAAAAAGAATTCGGCCAGTTGTGGAAGTCCAGCAACTTCAACAATTTTGTAAAATGCTTGATTAACATAAGCCATTGGAATAAGTGCAAGACAAATAATTCGACTGAAAAAATAAGGGAAAAATTGTGTGTAAATTGGGATAGATTGTCAGCGTATATTACTAAAGATTAATAAAGAAAATAATTTGCCATATTAAGGAATCGAACCACCAACTAAAAAATAGAGGTACTAACCCACTTAACCAAAAAGTCAATAGCGTTGTTTATCAAATTTTATCAAAAATTACCTCCCTAGACCAGGTAACAATCCTAATAAAAAAATTAAATAAAAAAAACCGAAATGTCATCCTTGCAATATTTCCAGCTTGGCTATCTTCATTTCCATAAATATCTCCCAGATTAAATTCAGTCCATTTTCGAAACAATTCTTGAGAGAAACGGAAATAACATCCACTAACATGAGCTTCAGTAAAAACATTTTGTGCTGCTACAACCACTGAATTCTCAAAGTCAGTAATAACTAAAATGAAAAAAAGCTTCAGCCAAAAAAAACGTCAAAAAAATATACCTCTTCTAGGCTTTGCAGGTCTAATAGCAGCAACAACAGCATTTAAAGCCTCCATACAAAGCTGCTCGGAATTTTCAGTTAAAAGTGCATGCGCAGCAACAATTAATTGGCTTCTAACAATTGTTCCAATAACAAAGCAATGCTTGAAAGGAGCTGGGGCCAATTTAAACGATGCACCAATTGTCCAGGTAGTTTGACCAGCAAGTTGTTGAAGCATCTAAAAAAAATTTTGATACAAAAAAAAATAAAAAAACAAACATATGGATGTGCAAACACAAAAACTGAATCTTTATCACGAGCTTGAGCAGTCCTCGAATCATACAAAAATATTGATTGACCATTTTTTTCGGTTAACGTAGGTGGCAATTTTATTGCCAAAATATCCGAACCTTTCTTTGTACAGCCTTTTCCAAAAAATTTTGTTTTTTCCCTGAAAATAAGCTAAAGTATTAACAGAATAGCAACCAGGCCAGTCTTCAGTGAAGGACATTAAAACTGATTTTGTTACCATTTAACCTAACATAGTATCATGCCGAAAGACGGCGAATCATAGCCAAATTGCCACACGATTTTGACAATCCTAGTGACAATCTAGCCCACTGATGAGACTAAGCCGCCTTATAACCTCTAAAGAAAGTAAACCTTTTAGCCAACTGTGCAAGTGACCCATCCGATCCCAAAGCTACAAAAGTTTCATCGTCAATTCCAGCTCGAATATCTGCAACCAGGTTTGCACCACTCAATGAAGGCTCTTCTCTAGCTCTTTGTTTTAGCTCCTGCCTTTTAATTTCTGCCAATCTTTGCTCTGGTCGAGGTAAATGAATGTGTGCATTTTTCAATTCTCCCATTAATTTGCCATCTTCCGTTTCATGTGTATATGCGCTTCCTGGACATCTTTTGGTACCACAACGCCAAAAAATATTATAATGTTTGATATTAACGTCACGATTCTTAAGGTAACGGAAACCTAAAATTCAAAAATAATTTTTGCGGACAAATTTTGCAGACAGAAATAAATTTTTGCGGACAAAAAATTTTTTCCGCAAGTTGCATTTTCTTAAATAAAAGAAGCATAGACGCGCCCGTCAGACGCCCTTATCAAATAAAAAACTAACAAAAATAAACTAACCTTTATACCAAATACAAAGAGCCCCTCTGTTTGTATATCCTCTACTAAATTCAACTTCTTCTTTCTCTTCCTGAACAATTTCTTCCTCATGCGCCGCAGGCATAACAGGTTCAATAATTTCTTCAACAACAATATCTTCAACAATTTCTTCTTCAACTTTAGGTGCCAAACGTTTTCTTTGTGACGAACGACGATTAAATTGCTCAAGTTTTAAGCGAACATCACTTGGACTTTGCTTAATTTCTGTTTGTTTCCCCATTTAAAAAAAAATCTGAAAACTAGAAAAACAGATTAGACGAAAAAATATAAAAATATTTGATTGGCTTTTGAACAAAATTATTAATTAAAAATTCCAAAATATTTATACAATATTGGCAAATGTCTAATTGACTCCCCCACCTGTCAGCAAAGAAAATAAACACTTTTCAATCTTTTCTTGCATTTTTTTCTGCAAAATGGCGCCCATTTTCCGCCTTTGACTCATGAAAAGATAAGGTGCGTATTGCTAACAGGTAGAAAGTCAACTGGACATTTGCCTAAAAACTTTATAAATTTAAATAAAAAAAAAGACAAATTAGCAAAGACCAGAAGAAGTACTTGGTTTTGGTTTCTTACGTCCACCACCACCTCTACTCTTGTTCAAACCTTCGTTATATTCCATAGAATCATCACCAGATTTTCCATCTTCATTAACATCAACATATAAACCATTAACATAACCTTGAATATGATGAGACAAAATATCCAAAGTATTCAAAATTGCTTGGTCTGTTTCGTAAGAAGCTTCGTTCAATGTATTTACAATCGATTCTTCTTTTATAGCATGCTTTCGAGGATGATTTCTTTTTTTGCCAGTGTTAGAGATGGTTACTTCACGAATGTAGTCTCTCTGCTTCTCAAAATCATCCCAAAGTCCAAGTATATAATCAGGCAGCAAAGACACCACTTTTGAAGTTTGCTAAAATAAAACAAACCTTTAACCGTCTAAAATAGCCCCCCCCCCCCCATTTTTTATTTAAAAAATTAGAAACCTTCATTTGTAATTGTGCCATTTCCAAAGCAGAATTTGCATTGAGTATAGCAGTTGACACTCTTTCGCTAATATTCCAAAATTCTAAAGGACAAAAAGGACGATGACGCAAAGGTTGCAAAAATGCAGCCGATTGATTCGCTACAATAATTGTTGAGGAAGAATGTGGTGGCAGCTCAAAACGTAAATGTTGTTGAGAATAATTTTGATATCCAACATTTGCTTCTAAAAATAGTTTCAAAAATCTCCTAAAAAATATCATAAAAAGTAAAAACCTTCATAAACGTGTTCTTCTTCTGGTCCCGAATAAAGTACAAAATTCGATCCAAAAGCTGCTGACTTCATTCTAAATTCCTGGTCTGTCAGTCCAATAAAAGTCTGTTTGAAATAGAAAAAAAATTCGGCCAGTTGTGAAAGTTTAGCTGCATCAACAATTTTATAGAAAGCTTGGTTAACAAATCCCATTGGAATAAATGCAAGACAGATCAGCCGTCTAAAAATATTTTTTGTAAGAATAGATTTCATATCACCTCATATCTTTTGACAGAAAAATGATTTTCTCCTCAAAGGACTCGAACCACCAACTAAAAGGAAGTGAAATTAACCCACTTAACCAGAAAGTCGATAGCGCTGTTTACTCAAATTTTACCAAAGGTTCCCCTCCAAACCAGGTAACCATCCTAATAAAAAATTTAAAAAAAACCGAAATGTCATCCTCGCAATATTACCAGCTACGCTATCTTCATTTCCATAAATATCTCCAAGATTATATTCAGTCCATTTACAAAACAATTCTTGAGAGAAACGGAAAAAACAACCACTTATATGGACTTGTGGAAAAACATTTTGAGCTGCTACAACCACTGAATTTTCAAGGTCAGCAATAACTAAAATAAAAAAAAATAAATTAGAAATTTGAGGACATTATTTCCAAACTACTATGACTAAAAATTACTTAAAAATTTACGAATTTTTGTCTCATTGCGGGAGAGCCAAAAATAAGTGTCAATTTTGCTTGATGGTCTAGGCCTGAGATTTGGAGGTTACAGGGCTATAATATGCTCAAAATTGGACAAAGCAATGGAAACCAAAGGTAGACCTCAAAAGGCATAATTATAAAAAATATACTTCTACGAGGTTTTGTCGGCCTAACAGCAGCAGAAACAGCATTCAAAGCTTCAATATAAAATTGTTCGGAATTCTCAGTCAAAAGTGCATGTGCAGCAACAATTAATTGGCTTCTAACAATTGTTCCAATAACAAAACAATGTTTGAAAGGAGCTGGGGCCAATTTAAAAGAAGAACCAATTGTCCAGGTAGTTTGACCAGCAAGTTGTTGAAGCATCTAAAAATTTTTTGCTACAGAAAAAAATCAAAAAACAAACATATGGATGCGCAAACACAAAAACTGCATCTTTATCACGCGCCCGAGCAGTTCTTGAATCATACAAAAATATTGATTGTCCGTTCTTTTCGGTTAACGCAGGTGGCAATTTTATCGCCAAAATATCTGAACCTTTCTTTGTATTAACTTTTCCATAAAGTTTTGACTTTTCTCTAAAATTTAGAATAGATTCTTAATTTATATATTGTTTACCTTTGAGCCATGTGTGCAAGAGAATTTTCTGATCCCAAAGCCACAAATGTTTCATCATCACAGCCAGCTCGAATACTTGCAATAAGCTTAGAACAACTCAAAGAAGGATCTTCTCTCGCTCGTTGTTTTAATTCTTGTCGTTTAATTTCAACCAATCTTTGCTCTGGTTGAGGCAAATGATTATGCTTATGCCTTACACATCCAATTATTTTCCCATCTTGTTCAAAGGTATATGCTTTAGCTGAACATCTTCTGTTACTACAGCGCCAATAAGTATCATAATGTTGGTAATTTCGAAGTTCAGATTTATTGTATCGAAAACCTAAAATTCAAAAAAAGTTTTGCGGACAAGCAAATTCCTACTCCAAAATTTGAATCAACCCAAGAGAGTCACCCTAATTATCTGAAATAATAAAATTCCTCCCTCGTCGATATCCCTCTTAATTGACGGGACTCATTGTCAGTTGTGCGGACACAATCGTTGGACTTAAATGAGGTGTACCGGGAAAAAATCAAACAGCTTAATTTTAGTAGTAAAAAGGTCAAATAAAATTATGCCTAGAAAAACTGACCCAACTCAAAAAAATCTTAACTTGCTCAAAAAACCCAGGCCCGAAAAAAGTACTCAAAGTCGGCTCAACCGGAAAACGGCAACCCTAATTAAAAAAATAAGCTAACCTTTATACCAAATACAAACAAATCCTCTAGTTGTACATCCTGTAGTAAATTCAATGTCCTCCTTCTCTTCTTGAACAGTTTCTTGTTGAATCATTTCAGGTACTTCATCAACAACAATATCCTCCATTTCATCCTCCTGTTCAACTTTTGGAGCTGAACGTTTACGAGTTGAACGGCGTAGAATTTGCTCAAGTTTTGGGCGAATATCACTACTTAGACTTTCCTTAATTTCTGATTGGTTTCCCATTTGAAAAAATTTTTTTAAATCTAGAAGGTTAAAAAAAGCGGATTAAACGAAAATATAAACCAAATATTTCATTGATTTTTTGAACAAATTATAAAAAAATTATTCTTTAAATTTTTACAAATATTTATAAAAAAACCATAGAAATTTAAATAAAAAAATTGAACGAATTAGCGATAACTGGAAGTACTTGGTTTTGGTTTCTTTCGTCCACCACTACCTTTACTACTGTTCAAACCTTCGTTATATTCCATAGAATCATCACCAGATTTTCCATCTTCATTAACATCAACGTATAGTCCATTAACAAATCCTTGGACATGATGAGACAAAATATCCAATGTGTTCAATATTGCTTGGTCTGTCTCATACGAGGCCTCGTTCAATGTATTCACAACCAAATCTTCTTTTATCGCATGCTTTCTAACATTTCTTTTTTTAGTACTACTTGTAATTGTTACTGCCCGAATGTTGTCTCGTTGTTTCTCAAAATCGTCCCAAAGTGCAAGAATAAAATCGGGCAGTGAAGGGAGGAGTTTTGAAGCTTGCTAAAATAAATTTGTGATTAAATCAGAAAATAAATACAGGAAAGGATGTGAGAAATAAAAACAATCGTCAAAACGCCAAAGTAAACGCCAAAATTTTGACGAAAACCCCATTTTAGCCCACCCTGAAATCGGCCCCCTGGCTATTTCCTTTATCACATTGGGATCCCGAAAACCAAAAAATAAATCAGAACCCAAAACAAATATTAAAAACTCGGAGAAACATATGCCAAAAAAACCCCAAAAAATAAGGAACGCATAAATCCTTATAGAAGCATGTACAAAACTAGAGCTCTAGCAGTAACCCAAACCATAACCTAAACGTAATTCAAATTTAAAACTGTCTCGCCAACTCCATCTCATTTAAAAAAAATTTAAAAAAACCTTCAGCTGTAATTGTGCCATTTCCAAAGCAGAATTTGCATTGAGTATAGCAGTTGATGCTCTATCATTAATATTCCAAAATTCCAAAGAACAATAAGGACGATGACGTAAAGGCTGAATAAATGCAGGGGAGTGATCTGCTACAATAATTGTTGAGGAAGAATGTGGCGGGAGCTCATAGCGTATATGTTGAGAATAATTTTGATAGCCGACAGTTCCTTCTAGAAAAAATATTTCCAAATTTCCTTCAAGATTAATCAAAAACCTTCATAAACGTGTTCCCCTTCTGCCGGCGAATAAACTAAATTTTGTACAAAATTCGATCCAAAAGCAGCTGACTTCATTCTAAATTCCTGGTCTGTTAGTCCAATAAAGTTCTGTTTGAAATAGAAAAAGAATTCTGCCAGTTGTGGAAGTTTAGCTGCTTCAACAATTTTGTAAAAAGCTTGGTTAACGTAAGCCAGTGGAATAAATGCAAGACAGATCAAACGACTGAAAATTGGAAAAAATTTCAAATCAATGAGTAAAGCAAGGGCGTAGCCAGTGGGGAGATTCTAGGGTCAAAGCCCCCTTGAAATGGGGAAAAGGGAAAAAACTTACCCCCCCCTGAAACCGACCCACTGGCTACGCCCTTAGAGTAAAGCCTGTCCCCCCTCGGATAATAATCCCAATCCTAATATAAAAATAATAAAAAACCGAAAGGTCATCCTCGCAATATTTCCAGTCTGACCCTTATCATCTCCATAAATATTTCCAAGATTACATTCAGCCCATTTTTTAAACAATTCCTGAGCAAATCGAAAGTAACATCCACTTAAATGAGTTTCTGGAAAAACTTTTTGTACAGCTACAACCATTAAATCTTCAAAGTCAGTAACAACTAAAAGAAAAATTTTAAAATTAGACATTTGCGGACCTCATTTGAGGAAGGAACTTATAACTGTCAATTTTAGAAGTCACAAACTCATGTTTATGAGGTACACTCACGATCTATGACAGGAAATTTCTTGCCTAACCATTAGAAAAATTATGCCCTCAAAGGTCAGGACTCTTAAAATTCTAATTATAAAAAACCAAAAATATACTTTTTCTAGGCTTTGTCGGTCTAACAGCAGCAGCAACAGCATTCAAAGCTTCAATATAGGATTGCTCAGAATTTTCTGTCAAAAGTGCATGTGCTGCTACAATTAATTGGCTTCTAACAATTGCTCCAATAACAAAGCAATGTTTGAAAGGAGCTGGGGCCAATTTTAAAGATGAACCAATTGTCCACGTAGTTTGACCAGCAAGTTGTTGAAGCATCTAAATTTTTTTTGCTACAGAAAATAAATTAAAAAAACAAACATATGGATGTGCAAACACAAAAACTGCATCTTTATCACAAGCGCGAACATTTCTCGAATCATACAAAAATATTGATTGTCCATTTCTTTCCGTCAATGAAGGTAATAATTTTATAGACGTAATATCGGCACCCTTTTTTGTAACACCCTTTCCATAAAGCCTTGCTTTTTCTCTACAATTGAGATAAATTTTTAATAGAAAAAAGAGTGAACGCGGGTCAGTCTACCGCCAAGCCATATAAAGTTTATTCGGTACTATCTAACTAGAGTACTATCTAAACTAGTTAACAAAACAAGTTAAACGCCCGGTCAATTTTTCCCCGTGGCTGGTCTTCCTTTTCTTACTTTCTCTTTTCTTTTTGCCCCACCACAGGGAGAAATTAACCGGGCGGTTAACCGGTTTTACCCACTAAACGGTTTCGACTATTCTTAACCGTACGATTGAAACAAAAAATTGCCATGCCTTTCACCCCCATAATTATAACTTCTGCGGTAGACCAGACCCCGGTAAACCGTAAAGTACAAAAAAACCTTAGAGCCATATTCGCAAGAGTATGGTCCGATCCCAAAGCCACAAATGTTTCATCATCACAGCCAGCTCGAATACTTGCAATAAGCTTCGAACAACTCAAAGAAGGCTCTTCTCTCGCTCTTTGTTTTAATTCTTGTCGTTTAATTTCCACCAATCTTTGCTCTGGTTGTGGCATATGATTATGCGTACCTTTAAGTCCTCCAATAATTTTACCATCTTCTTGTTCTAATGCCAAAGCTTTTGCTTTACATAGTCGGTTACTACAACGCCAATAAGACTTATTCTGTTTTCCAAATCTCAAGTATCGATAGCCTAAAATTTAAAATCAGTTTTGCGGACAACTTGTGTGGACAAATAAATCATGATGCAAAATTATTTTTTAAAATTATAAAAAAAGAGCACCCCGAAGTCAAACGCCTATTAATATTAAAATCAGATTTCGAAGCAGCGGCATAACCTGATTTTCCGGGACTGGGGTTTCCGGGCCCGGTAATCGGGCAATATGTCAAACCCGGTTGTTTTAGGCCGAAAACCCCGTCCCGAGTTTTTTCAAAGCCCCCCCCCTTCTCAGCTCAGAGTCTAGGCAGAACCTGATTCTCCAAGACAAGGGGTTTCCGGGCCCAGTAACCGTGTATTGTGATAGAACCGGTTTCCAGGGCTTCGAGATATAGACCGAAAACCCTCGGCCCGGAGCATCTCACAAAACCAGCTACCATGCCGTGCATTTTAAAAACATTAAACGGCTAATTAAAATAAAAAACTAACCTTTATACCAAATACAAACAAAACCCTTAGACGTACATCCTTTAGTAAATTCAACCTCCTCCTTCTCCTCTTGAACAACCTCTTCATAATGGGTTTCAGGTATGTCATCAACAACAATATCCTCAACAATTTCTTCTTCAATTTTAGGTGCCAAACGTTTACGATTTGAACGATGCTGAATTTGTTCAAGTTTTACACGAACATCAGTCTTGGTTTGATTAATTTCTGTTTGGTTTCCCATTTGAAAAAAAAAGAAAATTTTTTTTGTTAATCTGCAAAGTAAGAAAAATTTGGATTAAACAAAAATAAAAAATATTTCATTGAGCTTTTGAACAAAAATTATTGGTAATAGTTTGGCTGACCATCCCCCCAATTCCTTTCTATTTTTTTCACAATTTATGGCAAATTATATATCATTCGAAAAAGCTCTCCAAGTTGCATCAATTGGTACAAGTTCAGCGAAATCTGACTTAAATGAAAAAAAAATCATCAAAAGCCGATTTTGGCTCTTTCGAATAATTACGATAAATTATACAAAAAAAATAAAAAAAGCTGAAAATGGTCAGGGAAAGGAAAAAAGAAGGGTGGTAAGCCAAAATATTCCCAAATTATTTAAAAAATTAAAAAAAAATAATTTTTATTTTTTCGGGTATTATAAGCAGAAAAAATTTTTAAAATAAAAAAATATTAATAAAAAAATTTCAACGAAATCCAGAAGTACTCGGCTTCATATTTGGTGAGTCAAAAATAAGTCTGTCCATATGTGAGTGTATTTGTCCACCACTTGTATTGTTTAAACTTTCATTGAATTCAACAGCATTTTCAATTGAACAAGAGCTCTGTTGTTGCTCTTGAGAGTGTCGTTTCTCATTTTTAACATCAAAATGTAATCCATTAACATATCCTTGGACATGATGTGACAACATATCCAAAGTGTTTAAGATTGCTTGGTCAGTTTCATATGAAGCTTCATTTAATGTACTTGCTACCAATTCTTCTTTTATTATATATTTTCTGTTCCTCTTTTTATTTGAAATTGCAACTGAACGGATGTTATCTCGTTGCCTTTCAAAATCATCCCAAAATGCAATTATATAATCGGGTAGTGAAAGCATTTGTTTTGTACCTTGCTAAAAAAGAATATTTTTATGTTAGGTAAAAAATTAGGCCAATCCCAACATAGTTCTCCCTATTTAAGGAATCGAAAAAAGATCAATCTTTTATAACGGTGAGAAGAATGCCTCTAACAAAAGGGTCAGAGGTGGGTCAAAACAATCAGAGGTGTCGGAAATCGAAAGAGCCGGAAATCAAAACCGACTCAAAAGTCGGAACTCGGAAATCAAAATTTTTTCGGAAATCGAAAGGAAAAAACATTAGAAATCGGAATTCCGACCCACTTCTGACAAAGGAGCCATCTAAACTATAACCCAAAATTCATAAATATCCGAAAAATGGACTAGAGCAAAAAAAGCAAAAATTTGATTCAGTGATTCGAACATCATCCTTATGAAGGAGAATAATAAAATAGTTAATTGTTGGTAATATTATAAGAAGTTCCCCGTTAGAACGAAACAAAGTAAGTCCTCATAGAACGCAGCACACAAAAAGTAACCCACACCTAGGATTGTCACACTCCCCTTCCCATTTAAATTTAAAAAACCTTAATCTGATATTGTGCCATCTCCATAGCAGAATTTGTATTAAGTAAAGCAGTTGACGCCCTTTCACTAATATTCCAAAATTCCAAAGGACAATATGGGCTATGACGCAAAGGTTGCAAAAATGCTGGCGATTGATTTGCTACAATAATTGTTGATGACGAATGTGGTGGAGGCATTTCATAGCGTATATGTTGAGAATAAACATGTTCTTCATAAGTGCCTTCTAAATATAGAGAAAATTTATTTAATTGACAAGAGTCATGTTTTTATGAATAAAAAAATGCACTTCCATGGACTTAAAATTTAACTAGCCATAACTCAGCCCAGAGTCATTTTTATAAAAAACTGGTATCACTTCGCAATAGGAAGTCGGAGGCCCTCTATCGAATGGCACCAAAAAATAGACCAAAATCCCCGGCACTGTAAAAAGTGTTCCCTTGTTAGCAGTGATGGGAAAGTTCAAGTTCCGATTTCGATGCGGTTCCAGTTCCAGTTCCGGAGCTGGAACCGAATAAATTCAAAAAGCAGTTCCAGAACTGGAACCGGTTCCAGAAAAATTTTGGAACTTTCCCATCACTGCTTGTTAGTCAATTTTCTTGTCTTGACTCAAAGTCAAAAAATTCCCGACTTAAAATCTCCCCTATATTTTATTTAGAAAACCTTCATAAACGTGCTGCTCCTCCTCCTCTTCATCTGGTGCCGAATAAATTAAGTTTTGTCCAAAATTTGATCCAAATGCCTCTGCTTTCATTTGATATTCATGTTCAGTAAGTCCAATAAATGTTCGTTTAAAATAAAAAAGAAATTCAGATAATTGTGAAAGTTGTGCAGCTTCAGTAATTACATAAAATGCTCTGTTGACATAAGCCATTGGAATGAGTGCAAGACAAAGCAAACGACTGTAAAAAATTAAATTTTGTTCTATATATCTTTTGAATATTACACTTTTTCGTATTTCTATATTTCCATAAAAATGGGAAAAATTAAAAAGTTAAAGGATTCGAACCTTAACACAAAAACTTTTAAGAACCAAGTCATTCCAATTCGAGATCAGACCGAGCCGACAGAACAAAAACCTCAGTAATTGAGATGGATATTTTTTACAATAGAGATCTCGACTCCCACATGGTCCTTGCTGTCACTAATTCAAATTAGAACGACATGTGGATGAGTCGCCAAATAAAAACAAAAAAACCACTCAAGCTACCCACATTAAATTTAAAAAAGTTAAAAAAATACCGAAATGTCATCCTCGCAATATTTCCAGCTTGACTTTTTTCGTTTCCATAAATAATTCCAAGATTATATTCAGTCCATTTTTTAAATAATGTCTGGGCGAATCGAAAATAACAACCAGTCACGTGAGCATCAGGGAAGACATTTTGCGCTGCTACAACCATTGCATTTTCAAAATCAGTAATAACTAAAAGTTGGGATTTATTAAATCCGCAAATGTTTGTCCGCAAATATTTGCGGACAAATCAAAGTAAAAAAACTTCAAAAAATACTTCTTCTAGGTTTTGCAGGTTTAATAGCAGAAGCAACAGCATCCAAAGCTTCAATATAGGATTGCTCAGAATTTTCAGTCAAAAGTGCATGTGCTGCAACAATTAATTGGCTTCTAAAAAGTGCTCCAATAACAAAGCAATGTTTGAAAGGGACTGGGGCCAATTTAAAAGATGAACCAATTGCCCAAGTAGTTTGACCAGCAAGTTGTTGAAGCATCTGAATTTTGTCAAAATTCAAAAAAAAATCAAAAAACAAACATATGGATGTGCAAACACAAAAACTGCATCTTTATCACGTGCTCGAGCAGTTCTCGAATCATACAAAAATATCGATTGGCCCTGTCTTTCGGTTAAAGCAGGCGGCAATTTTACATCCAAGACATCCGATAATCCTAAGTTTGGACGAACTTTTCCATAAAGTTTGATCCTTTCTCTGAAATTATTAAATTTTAGAGTAAGATCGAGAGCTAGAAAAGTCAGTGAATGGCCTGGAATAATTTTTAAATTCAATTACATGGATCGGATCTTGCCCTTAAGGTAAGAAAAACAGAGGTAAAAGTCCAAGCCCCAAGCTAGAATAGATCTCACAGCCATAAAAAATAGGAAACAAAGGAGCGAGAAGCACCTGGAGAACATATAAAAGACCAGGACAATTAATAAAAAAAATTACCTATAAGCCATATGCGAAAGAGAAGCATCCGTTCCCAAAGCCACAAAAGTTTCATCATCAATTCCAGCTCGAATACTTGCAATAAGTGTTGCCCTGCTTATATGAGGTTCATCCCTAGCTCGTTGTCGTAATTCTTGGCGTTTAATTTCAGCCAATCTTTGCTCAGGTTGAGGTAAATGAGTATGCGTATTTCGTACTCTTCCAACAATTTTGCCATCTTCTTGTTCAGAAGCTGTTGCATTTGCCGGACATTTGCGGTTACTACAACGCCAATAAGTTCCATAATGTTTGTGATAGCGAAATCCTTTAAAAAAATTTTTTTGTAAAATTCATTAGAGTCAGTCTTTTCGAACCTAGCCTAGTTTTATATTTTTTCTGGATCTCCAGGAAAAGACTGACCCATGAGAGGAAGTCTTAGCCCCTGATAGGCCCCCCCCCCAGATCCTCCACCTGCGACTTCCGTTCAGTTAACGATATGCGTTTTCCACCAACATGTAAAAAGGTGAGTCTGGTTAAAAAAATGACGAGCCAGGTTTCGGGTACCCGCCCCATTTCTGGTACAGGTCCTGTCGCATTATAAAAAGTGGAAGCCATCCCCTCCTTGGTACAGTTGCCCTATTACCGACAGAACTTCATGGACGCCACTTCCCCTATCCCTTTTTTAATACTATCTTAAACCCCTGCACAGGACGCCTTCTTAAATATTAACCTGTATCCCCTTCTCCCTTACAATATTTCAAAAAAAAATTTTTTAACTAACCGTTATGCCAAATACAAATTGCTCCCTTGTTAGTAAATCCTCTCACAAATTCAACTACTTCTTGTTTTTGTTGTGGGACCTTCTCCTCCGTTTTTTGTTGTTTTTCAGGCACAACAGGTTCAATAATATCATCAACTACAACATGTTCAGATTCTTCAATTTTGGGTGCCGGACGTTTTCTAGGTGACGAACGTCGTTGGATTTGTTCTAATTTTGGACGAATAATACTTGGACTTTGTTTAATATCAGCAGTTTCTTTCATTTTAAAAATCTAAAAATTAACAAGAAAAAAAAGGTTAAAAAGAGAAAAGGCCCAAAAATAAAATGATTCTCAACACAAATTTTTGTGAAGAAATATGCCAACAACTTTGGTCACATCCTTCTCGGTCAATAGATTTTTTAGTGTAGAGTAGGCCAAAACGTCAATCGACTAAAAATCTCTCTTCCCAACTAGCTCTCTTACTAACTAGACTACGGTAAAATGGCCACTTTCAAAATGTCAATAAACTAGATAGTATTGAAAAAATAGAGAATGCAGGGAATTAGAGGAGAAAACTGAAAACACCTAATTTACAAAATATCAACCTTGAGAAAATATTACAAAATGACAACAACGGGAGCCAAGACCAACTCACAAAATGCCAATCGAACAAAAAGGTCAAAAAGTCACATAGACAGAATGCCAATCAAACATAAACGTCAAAATGCCAATCGAACAAAAAGGACAAAATGTCACAACGACAAAATACCAATTGAACAAAAACCCCAAAACTTCACAAAGACAAAATGCCAATCGACGGAACGTCAAAATGTCACTAAGACAAAATGCCAATCGAACAAAATGCCAAAAATATGTCAAAATTCTAAAGATTTTTTTATAAAGACGTATAAAATGCACGAAAAAATATTATATAATCATTTTTACAAAAAAATTAATACATATGGAGTAAATATAAAAGTAAAATCAGCAATAATTTGTATTGGACGTACTTGGGACACTTCCCGAGGTATCAAAAATAACATAATTATCACTAGAATTATTAACAATATTTTTTGTTTCATCCTCCACCACAAAATTTTCATTTACAAAGGAACACATACTTGTTTTTTCACTTTTAACATCAAAATGTAATCCATTAACATATCCTTGGACATGATGTGACAACATATCCAAAGTATTTAAGATTGCTTGGTCAGTTTCATATGAAGCTTCATTTAATGTACTTGCTACCAATTCTTCTTTTATTATATATTTTCGATTCCTTTTTTTATTTGAAATTGCAACTGAACGAATATTATCTCGTTGCCTTTCAAAATCATCCCAAAAGGCTAATAAATAGTCTGGTAATGTTAATTGATATTTGGAGTTTTGCTTAAAGAAAAAATTATTAAAGATTAGCTTAAAAATTTTTTTGCGGACAAACATTTGCGGACAAACTTGAAGACTTTCAAAACTAAGGAAATAAATACAGTGGTAAGTCAGGTACCCTTGCCAAAGCATTTTGACTATTTTGGTCTGAATATTGAACAAAAATGATCTCAATATTCAGCAAAAAAAGGTATCAAATGTTCAGAAAACCACAAAAAACTTGACACTTCTTTCCCTCAATGAAAGGAAATGAAGTCCCCAATTCTCCCGATTTCGTTCATAAATAAGAAAAAAAACACCATTTGCTTCAAAAACCCCAAAAAGAGATCATCCCATCTTCATAAATCCCTAAAAATATGCGAGAAAAGAACCTTCATCCTCCTCAAAAAAGCAACTAGAAAAAAATTACGGACAATATTTGCGAATCAACCCTAGGCTTCCCCCTCCCAAAAAAAAAATCCCCAAAAAAATTTAAAAAAAACCTTAATTTGAAAATGTGCTGTTTCCATTGCATAATTTGTATTTAATAGAGCTGATGCTGCTCTTTCACTAATATTCCAAAATTCAATCGGACAATAAGGTTCATGTATTATTGGCTCATCAATGTTTAAAAGTGTTGCGGATTCTAACATGGTAACTGGTTCGGGCGAAGATTGTTGTTGTTGTATTTCATAACGAGGTGGTGGGGCACAATAAACATGCTCTTCATGAGCAACATTAACATCTAGAAAAAAAAATTTTCGAAAATTTTAAAAATTTTTTAAAATATAATTGCGGACAACATTTGCGGACAAATGCTGTAAATATCCTAGTTAAAGCCTATACCCTATTAGAAGCCTGCTTAATAAGATTATTTGATCTTTTGTCAAGGCTAATAAAATTTAAGGATCATCGGGTGTAATTTAAGGAGAATTTAAACACAACAGTGCCAGAGACCAGAGGTTAAAAAAATTTTTTTCAAACAAATTCACATCCCAGAATCCAAAAATAATCAAAAAAAAAATATGGGATTCACCGTATCCCATTCTGCCCTAAAAAGAGATCATCGAGTGCATTTAAAAAAAAATTTAAAAGATACACACTGTCAGGGACCGGAAATTTTAAAAAATTGTCGAAAAACACTAGAAGTAAAGCGTCTACCAGAATCCAAAAAATCAAAATTTGGGATAAAATGTCACCCCATCCCCCCTTCTACAAAAAAACAAAACTTCTAATAAACCTGAATAATCCAATGCCGGTCCCAACGAAGAAAATACCAAATTTTCTCCAAAACTTAATCCAAACGCTTCAGAGTTCATTTGAAATTCATAATCGGTTAAGCCAATATATGTTCTTTTGAAGTAAAACAAAAACCTTGCCAATTCTGGGATTTGAAAAGCATCGCTTACAATTATATAAAATGCTCGAGTAACAATAGAGGGTGGTATAAGTGCCAAACATAGTAATCGACTATAATTTTTAAAATTTATTCAAGGCGAATGATTTTTGGGATAAAATGTAATTTCATAAAAATTGCTATACAAAACCTTTATCCAACATATTCTATAAAAATCAGAACCTAGTCCTATAACTTAGCGAAAATAAACTGCTTCCCAATCAGCCCTTGGAGCCGAGAAAATTTTATCTAATAATAAGAGATCCTTAACTTGTAGCTATAACCAGGGGGAATTATTTTTGAATACGTCGAGTGCCTAAATGCAACGTATTGCCTAGGAGGATTCTACACATAATGACCAACCAAATTTATAAAACGTAACTTAAACTGAGGACAATCCTGAAGGTCAAAAAGGCCCTTGACAACCCCCTAGATAGCTAAAAAAAATATTAAAAAACCGAAATGTCATTCTCGCAATATTTCCAGCCAAACTTCTTTCATATCCATAGATTGCCCCTAATTTTAATTCTCTCCATTTTTTAAATAAAGCTTGAGCAAAACGAAAATAGCATCCACTAACTGAAGCTTCTTGGAAAACTTTTTGTGCCGCTACAACCATATCATTTTCAAAATCAGTTATAACTTTAAAAAATATTTTTAAAAATATAAAAACTATTTTATCAATCCCAAAATGATCAATTTTACAATTTTCCATCCAAAAATAAACTTAAAAAATTAAATTCCCCCGAAGAGATTCGAACCATCGACCTACATGAGGAAAAAATCTACACATAACCAACTACACCAAAAACCACAATTTTTAAAATGCAACTTTTTCGAGGCTTTGCCGGCTCCACCGCATTAGAAATCGCTTCCAAAGCCTCACTATAAAATTCTTCAGAATGTTCAGGTAAAAGGGCATGTGCAGCTATTATTAATTGATTTCTGAATATTGCACCAATAATAAAGCATTGTTTAAATGGTTTTGGGGCTGATTTGAAGGTTGATCCAATTGCCCATATTGATTGGGCAGCAAGTTGTTGAAGCATCTAAAAAATATTTTTTTGAAGGAAAAATGTTTTTGGAATGTGGAATCACTTAAAGGCACTCTCTGTAGTCAGAAAATAATAGGCCTTAAATAGCCTTCTATTAGAAGGGCATTGCTTAAACACAGAGACCACCTATTTTTAAAAACGTGGATATATGCTACAATGAGCCCCGACATGAGTTATCTTAGATTGAGGTCCGACTCCTCATTGAAGGTATCTTACTATGAGGACCGGCCGTTTTACAAGAATGCGGACACCGTTTGCGGACAAAAGAGAGTCCGCAAAGAGTGTACAGGGTCCACAAAAAATTCCCTAAAATCAAGTAAAGTATCCAAATATGAGGTCCGACTCATTAAAGAGAGGTAAAATGTGGCCCGACTGTTTTACAAGAATGCGGACACCCCTTGCGGACAATTAGTGTCCGCAAATTTTGAAAAATCCCAAAAAACCCAAATTAAAAATAAAAAACAAACATATGGATGTGCAAACACAAAAACTGGTTTATTATCGTGTATTCTAACATTTCTAGAATCATAAAGTAGAATTGATTGACCTCCTCTCTCAATTAGTGGCTGTGGAAAACGTATTGACATAACATCAATTGCTGAAATTTTTGAAGTTCCTTTGCCATATAATTTCGCCTTTTCTCTAAAAAATGGGTCACCATAAAGTTAAGAAAAGTTAAGTTCGATAGTTTGAAAAATCCACAGCTCATACGCCAGGGAAAGATTAATAAAGGTTCAAGTTTCAAGACTATAATTTGACGGAACCTGACCCGATTTATGGAATTAATCCCAGAACCGTCAAAAAAGTGTAGCAGAGAATTTGGGAATTGATTTTGGGAAATGAAAATACTTATTTTAGACACACATTTAAGCGTAGTTGATGACCCAGGGAACCCGGAACCGTCAAAACGTTCACCCAAGAAAGCACTGATTGGGTAGATTGGAAAACCATTTTCCACCCCGAAAAAAATAAATTTTAACAAACCTATAAGCCATAATTCCAAGTGCATTATCCGATCCCATAGCGACAAAAGTTTCATCATCAACTCCAGCCCGAATACTTGCAATTAATCTAATTCTGTTCAAATTTGGATCTTCTCTAGCTCTTTGCTTTAATTCGTGCCTCTTAATTTCTGCCAAACGACGTTCTGGTTGAGGTAAATGGGAATGTTCTAATCTTAATTTGCCTACAATCCTTCCATCTGAATGTTCGACAGCGGAAGCTTTTGCTGGACATTTGCTTTCAGTACAACGCCAATATGGACCATCATGTCTAACACGTACATAACGATAACCTTTTTAAAAGAAACTTTCTTTAAAAATTCGAGGTTGAAAAACTTTGCCAAGATTTTCGAATTCATTGAGATGAACTAGATCCCGGTCCTGTAATATGAATAAGAACCGTGTCAAGAAACCCCAAAAGATAAAAATGTCTAGGTAAGGAACAGGAGAATCCTCAGGTTATTGTAGGAATCTTCAAGTGGTTCCCCTTGAAAAAATCCCTTGAGCTAGTATGGATTTCATAAAGACACAAGGGAAACTCCAGAAGATAAAAAATGTCTGGGCTTTAGCAGTAACCTTCAAACCCTCGTGATTATAGACTTTTCCTTGAAGTTGCCTACCTAGGCATGCTTTTCTCCATAACATCTGGAGTTTCCCCTCCGAGTTTTATTCACCGAGGATCCGATCCAAATAATGAATTCGAAAATTAAAAACCCATAAAACAATTAAAAAATATACCATTGTGCCAAATACAAAGAGCTCCTTTATTTGTATATCCTCTCCCAAATTCAACAATTTCTCCCTCATCATCATCTAACCCAATATTATGTTGCTCATCTTTTTTAATCGTAGTCACATCCAATTCGCCATCATCAACAACCAAAAAATCTTCCCCAGATTCTTCATTTACTTCTTCATCTTTAACTGCTAAACGTCTTCGCTTTGCCGATGGTTGTTGTTTTTGAATTTGTTCAAGTTTTGGACGTATTTTGCTTGAGAGAGGAGTTGATGGAGTTGTTTCGTTGACATTAGGTTGATTTGCCATTTGTAATTTTTGCGTATAAGAATGCGTAAAAACACCTAAAATCAAAATATGTAAAAGTTAAAATTAAATACAAAAATTGAAAAAAACTAAACGCCTAAAAACAGTTGACAGATTTCGTCAACGCTATATTTTAGTTTCTCTAATCGTATCAACACATTTTGCCAATAAGGCTAAAAATACGCATTTTGTCAACAAGGTTATTGGCAAAACGTGTAATTTTAGCCTTACTGGCAAAATGTCGAATTGGCAAAATATGTGGAGCCGTTCTAATTTTATTTGTTTTCTCTGCTAATTACACTATTTTCTTTTCTCTCAATCTCTTCCCACACTATTTTCTATTAAATTTTCTCTAATTTTGAAATGTAAATTACAGTAAGAAATTTAATCAAAATGGCGTTATTTTAACTATTTGAAATTACTAATCTAATTCACCTCGAAAAATAAACCTGCTTGCCGATCAATCAATCAATCGCTGTTTCGCGCACACAGTTGAGATCCACACACACACACATTCTATTTATACAGAAGAATAAAGCAATTTTTACAAACATGAATCATTTAATTCTCACATTTATTCTTCAATTTGTATTTTTATTGTGCCAATACAAGCAATTTTGCTTTTCCGAGACTGGTAAATTTTCATTTTTCTAAATTTATAAAACTTAAAAAATCCAAAGATAAATGAAGGCCTAAAAAGTAGAAAAGCCAGACAGACTACATCGAAAAGTCCAAAAGTCCAATTTGTATTTTTATTCTGCCAATACAAGCAAAACGTCCATAGGACAAAACGTCCAAAAGACAAAATGTCCAAAGGACAAATCCATAGTACAAAACGTCTAAAAGACAAAACGTCCGAAGGACAAAACGTCCAAAACCAAAATGTCCAAATACAAAATGCCCAAAAGACAAAACGCCCAAAAGACAAAATGTCCAAAAGACAAAGCGTCCATTTTTCAAATCGCCCAAAAATCCAATAGAATTTCTAGAAAATTTATGCAACGCTACATGGAGTCCAAATTTACTACGAGAATTGCAACTAGAAAAATGTGTAGAAGAAGGAGAAGGGGAGGGAAATGGCTGTAAAAATGATTCTTTTTATTGTGAAAATAGTAGCGGATATTGTTGCCCCAAAAAAGAATTTGTTTGTCAAAGCCCAGCAGATTCTGGACACGAAAATTTTCAAAAACAATTTTTACATTTTGGACGATTTGCTTTTGATTTACAATTAAATGATTGTATTAAATTTAGTTATTTTGGAGAGGGTGGGAATTTTAATAATTTTTTAAAATATTTGGATTGTAAAAAATTTTGTAAAGGGGAATAAAAAGAGAAGAATTTTTAAATTTTTTTATTAAAATTAAAAAGAAAAAAAATAATTTTTTCTACCACCTACCTATGGGATAAAATGTCATTTAAAAAATATTAAATCCCCAATGACGGATCCAGTGATCAATCAGCCCAGCCTTGAAAGGATAGAAGAATATAAGCCCCTCCCCCTAAGTTTGTTTAGTTTACACTAATGCAGTTAACATATCCGCGGATACTCAAAAGTTGCACAGATATATCCGGATACGGATATTGACCCCATGGATATATCCAGGCACAGATATCAAAATCCCTATCAATGAACAAGTCTGGAATGTAGTTTCCTACACATGGGACGAAATGTCGTCCCAGCTAGCATTTTAATTCAAAAAATATTTACCTCATTAAACTTTCTCAAAAAATTTTTATTAAAAAAACAAGACCATGAACTTTAACAATTTTTATTATTAGCTTCAATAAAACAATTTAGAGTAGAACAAAAATTTGAAGAACCAAAACCTTGTAGTTTTGAATTTTTTGATTTGATTTTCTTTAAAAAATAAATTTAAAAAATTTAAAAAATAATTTTAAAAAAACCTTTGCAAAATTTTCCAATTTTTCAAAAAATTCTTTTTTCAATTTTCTCCTCTCATTTTTATTTTTTTCATCATCATTTTTTAGTGTTTTATTAAACAATTCTGAAGGTTCCCTTAAAATAAAAATAAATTAAAAAAAATATTTTTGGCTTTTTCAACTTTTATTTCTTCAATAAAAGGTTTATACGTCCAACAAAATTTTTATATGTCCATCCGGAATTTTTATGCGTCTTGTTCGCAAAAAAATATTTTGCGTTAAAATAAATTTTTATTGGACGCATAAACTAAACAAGAGCAGAGGTAAACTGGAAATGACGAAGGTGCCGGAAAATCGGGAGGAAAAAAACGTCGGAAATATGAATTCCGATTCACCTCTGGAAAGATCCAATTTCTTAAAAAATTAAAAAAAATAATTTACATGCTCGACCATTTTACATCCAATTTATATTTTCCAGTCAAATTTAATCCATTTAATAAGTGTAACACCAACATTTTAGTTAATTGATTATTTTGATTCTAAAATTCAAAAAAAATTAAAAGGAACAAGAAAACTATTATTTTCTTAAGAAAAATTATTTTTAAAACTCTAAAATTTTATTTAAAAAATATTGCCCTTCAGCGGATTCGAACTCACGACCCCCTCCCCCCTTTTTTGGATTAACTGACACTAACACCCACATCCTTTTTCCCTATAAAGCTTAATCCTAACAGAGAATATTAAAAAATTCCCAAAAGATTTAAAAAAATACTGAACCCCAGCGGATTCGAACCTATAACCCTCCTTTTTAAATTAAACTGACCCTAACACCCATATCCTTTTCCCCCGATAAAACTTAATGTTAACCCCCCTAAAACAGAGAACATTAAAAAATTTCCAACAGATTTTTTTATAAATAATGACCCTCAACGGATTCGAACCTATGACCTACACCCCCTCTCCTTCTTTTAAAATTATTTTCCATTCAACCAACACGAACCCACGTCCCTTCCCCCAAACAAAACTACCATCTTCACCCCTACAAAAAAACATTTAAAAAAATTCACAAAAATATTAATTTAAAAAACCTTTAAAATTAATTCCAATTCTCCTTTAATACTTGTTCCAACAGAATTACTATAATCTGGATCAGAACAATCTGGACGATATTGGCCATTATCAACAATAAAGTCTTCTTCCTCTTCGTTATTTGGGCCATTTCCAATCATTGGTTTTAATGAAGGAAAGATCTTTAAAAAAATTTTTTTGAAGATAAAAATGAAGACGTAGTATTTTATGGGGGCTAGCTTAAACCGGAGGTATCGATTAGACCCAAATCCAAAGGCAAGTTAAATTTAACAGAAAATACATGAGTTGGGTTGTCAGTTCTGGACCGAACAAAACCGAAGAACAGAGGATTTTTCGGTTCGGTTCTTCGGTTTGGTTTCGGATATCCGAAGAATTTGTGAGAACCGACAACCCTATACATAAGGAGAATCTAATTCTGGGGATATCTTATCATTATGTCCGACTGTATTCGAATAACCCGTCATCCACCCCCCGTTCCTAGCAGAAAATTATAAAAAAATTAAAAAAAAACCAAAAATATTCTTCTCAAAATCAACAAAAGTCCAGCAGCACAATTTTCATCAATTAAATTAATTCCAACTATAATTAATGCTAAACGTTTAATAAATGAAGCAGCTTTTTTAATTGAAACACTTTTTCTTCTTTTAATTAATAATAATTGAATTGATTCGATTAAAAGTAAAACTTGATTTTTTAATTCTAAAAAATTTAAAAAATTAAAAGAAACGAGGAAAACTTATTTTTTATTCAGAAAATCATTTTTAGACTTTAAAAAATTTTTTCTAAAAATATTTCCCCCAAGCGGGTTCGAACCCACAACCCCCATTCTTCCGTTAAAAAATTTATTTTAATTTTAAAATTTTTAAAAATTAAAAAACCTTCTTCCGGTTGAAAACATATATTTGGCATTACATTATACAAAGCTTTATAAAATTTTTGTAAATCAACTTCTATTGTTGCTTGTCCTTCACCGGTAAATATATGACTAGCAGTGTGTATACAATTTAGTGTTTCTGTTACTTTAAGTTGCTGAACAAAAATTTATAAACCGTAAAATTAATTTTTAGAAAAGAGAATAATTTTTTAAACCCGTATAAAAATTTCTAAAAATATTCGCCACCAACCGGAATCGAACCCATGCCTTAATTTATAGAGAAATCTAACATTTTATCACTGCACTAAAATACCTCACTGACAAATAAAATTATTTTTAGAAAAGCGGATAATTTTTTAAAACCGTTGAAAATTTCTAAAAATATTCTCTGCCAAGCGGAATCGAACCCAGGCCTTAGTTCACTGAAAAACAACCAAATGGAATTGACCCCCAGCACTAATCACAGAAAAATCTAACACTTTACCCACTACACCAACGATACTCAGAAATTTATAGAATGGTTTTTAGACTCGAAAAAAAATTTTACAATTAAAAAACTCCGAACTGATCCACACCCATCAGTTTCAAACCCTACTCCCCCAGAAATTTCAAAATTTTACCACTACACCACACAAACACACCCCCACAAATAAATTACAAAAAAACCTTTTGTTCAACTAAACGTCCCAAATGTTGCATCAAATCATCATAAAAATCAATAGAAATTAAATGAACAAATTTAGACAATCCTTGTAAAACTGGGCTTAATAATTCTGTTTGTGGCATCCTTTTAAGTATTTTAAAATAAATTAGAAAAACATTGTGCATTATTTGTGTTGAAATTTGTAATTTTGTTGAAAATGTTTTTGATTCAATTGCTTCTAACAATTCATTTTCTAATTTGCCAATTTGTTTGTCTAACTGGAAAAAAATTTAAAATTAATTCAAAAATTGATGTTTTAGACTTTTAAACCAGAAAAAATAATTCTTGAAAAAATTAAAAAATATTCCCAACCAACGGGTTCGAACCCACATCCCTACCTCAAACACAATACCACTACACCACAAACTATTTAAAAAGAAGAAAAACTCAAATTAGTCTAAAAATAAATCTAGTTTGACATTACAAATTAGAAAAATAATTTTAAAATTATTCTAAAATTATTCTAAAATTATTTTCTCCTCAACGGAGTCGAACCCAGGTCATAGCTCCAGAACAAACAAACTAACACCTAAACCACTACACCACAAATCATACAAAAACCCATAAAACCAAATTAATGCAAAAAAATTATTTTAAACTTTAAGAACTTTTTCAGAAATTTAAAAAAAAATAACACTCGAACGGGTTCGAACCCATGACCCCTATTTCTCATAAAAATTTCATTACCCACTACACCAAAATCATACAAAAAATAATAAAATTCCAAATTAATCCAAAAAATTATTTTAGACCTAAAAAAAATTTTTTAGAAATTTTTTTAAATATTGCCCCGAACGGGGTCGAACCCTTGACCCTTATCCCTCATAAAATTTCATTTAACCCACTACACCACAAAGTCAATTAAAAATAAAATTAAACCTTTCTCCGTTTTTTATTTGCCATTTGTTTCTTTTTTATCAATTTTTCTTTTTTTAATCGTTTTGTTTCAGTTCCATCACGATCAATCTCCTTCAAAAAAATTTATTTCCTGCCCAAAAACCCCAAAAAAACCTTAATATTTAAAAATAAAAGTGTTGAAATTAATTGTGCAGGAACATAAGCCTTTTTCTTTTCGACTAGTTTTGATATTGCTTTAACTCCATTTAATGAAATTTGTAGAGAACAATCATCTGCAAACATTGTAGAAAATGCGGAACAAATTGAGTCAAGTAACTTTAAAGAAAAATTTATTCAATACGTTTACAGCAAGAATGGGGTTAGATTTGAAAATTTTCCTTCGAGTCGAATTACAGATCGAGAAGGTCAGGGCTTCGAGTAGCAACACTAGTTCACAGGCTCCCTTTTTTCAATAACCATATTTCCCCTTTATTTTCGAATCCACAGGCTCGAGTTCCTGTTTTCAAAATTTTCTTTGGATCGAGTTTCGGGTTAAAAGTAAGTCATTCCCATATTCCCTTCAGGCTTATTGGAATTGGAAATTATTGGAATTTATTGGAATCAATTGGAATTGGGATTGATTTAAAAAATAATATTGGAATCAACCCACCCGACCCCTGATCCACACACACAAGGTGATTTAATATTTCCCCTGGGTTTGAAGCGAAGAAAATATGGGATAAAGGTAAAAAAGAGATTAACTATTAAAAATTATCAAAAAATAAAAAAGATAAACAAACATTTTTACATTTACAAAGACTTAGTCTTGCCAAACAAGAAATTATATTTGAAGCATAATTAAAATGTGAACATTTTTCTAATAAAAGACACAAACATTTTCCACATAAAATTCCAAATTGAGCAGAAAATGACAAATTGTTTTGATCAATTTTTGTTGAAAATAATTCTTTGAAAATTAAAAAAATTTTTAATTTTATTAAAAATAAAAATTTCCAACTATTAGCAGTTTTTTCACAAAATTTGAGATATTTGACATAATATTGAAGCAATAATTGTTCAAATGATGCTAATCTTTAAAAATAAAATATTTAAAAAAATGTTTTTAAATATTTTAAATTAAATTTTAAAGGGACGGGTTATTATTCGAATAAATTTAGAGAAAAGGAAACCCCACAAAGGGAATCGAACCCACTAACTGAAATATTAAAGCACCTAACTAAAATATTAAATTAAACTACTACATTAAAGAGATTTTCGTAAGAAAATAACCGAATATTTCGGCTGACCTAAACTGAAAACCCCATCCTGAAAAGCAACGGCAGCACTACGGTTCCATACATGAACCGACAACATTAATCTACCCCCATAAGGCAACCCGATACAAGCCAACTCTACCACAAAACCATGTCAAATACCTAATTATGCAACTTAAAATTTGGTATAATCAACAGCACTCAATGAAATAAATCGGACGGTACCAAAATCAATATTGCTCATCAATTTTCAAAATCAATAAATTCTCCTGTGGTTACGTAAAACGTTGTTTTACCCAAAAAAATTAAAAAAAACCCCCCAAACCTTTTAGTTTCCTTCTTCATTTTTTGTCCTTTTTCAACATCCGTTAAAGTATGTATTTTATATCCAGGCAATATATTAACAAAAACTTCAGATAAAGTAGCTGTCGCAAGTTTTTGAATATCTTCACGGATTAAAGGTGTCAAATCTTCTCCAAAAGCCATTTTTAATAAAATACGAAATTTTGAAATCTTTAAAGAAAAAATTAATTTTTAAAAAAATTAAAATAAAAAATAAACGTTTTCATTTGGATCAGCAATTATTAGTTCTGCATTTGTTGGAATTTTTATTTTCGCTTCTTCAATTAATTTTGTATAAAGCTCTTTCAATTGTTGATCATCCAAATTTGTTAAATTTGGAAATGAAGCTTTAAAAAAAATTAAATTTTAAAAATAATTATTAATTTTGAAGATATATTTAATGAAACGCAGAAAAAGCAAAAAAAAAATTTAAAAAAATTTCAAAAATTCGCAAAAAAATTTTTTTTAAAAATGCGGATTTGTATGAATTTTCACAGATTTTTTTTTCACAGATTTTTCACGCATTTTCTTAAAAAATTTTTTTCAGCCTTTTATGCATTTTAAAAAAATATTTTTTTAAACATTTTTAGCATAAATATGCAGAATTTGCTCATTTTTATAAATTCAACAAAAAAAGTAAGAAAGTGACAGAATATCCCAAGAGGTATAATTTTTCCAAAATAATTTTTCCAAAAAGTCATGTTTAATTTCGATAAAATCCTTAGGTCACTTAAGGATCATATCAACTAAAAAAAGCAAAAAAGTGACAGAATATCCCAAGTTTCCCAAAATAATTTTCCGAAAATCATTCACATCGGGTCACTTAAGGGTACTATTAACTGAAAAGAAATTTTGTATGAATTTTTCCTTTTAAACTCCCCAAAAAATTTTTTGTATAAAATAAAAAACCTTTTCCCCGTTCCTTCTCCTCTTCCTCCATATTTAATTTCATTTCCATTCCTTCCTCAATTTCACCATCATCCTCCACCTCTTCTTCAACATCCATTTTAACTCTATTAATTAATTTTCCACCAATTTTTATAGGTAATAACATTTCTTTTTCTTCTTCAAAACCTCCAAATGATAAAAAATGTTTTTTAATTTCTTCCATATCCATCTCCTCATTTTCATCTTCTTCCTCTTCCTTTTGCTGTTTAACTATTTCTTTGTATTCCTCTTCTTCATTATCGCTATAATTCGAATCAGAATCATTTTGACGCATTTCTCTATCACGAAGCCAATCATTTCGAATCTTAAAAAATAAATGGAAAAAATCTAAAGGTGACAAAAGATCCCACAAACTAAAAACTCTAGAAATGACTTTTTCTCAGCCCTTTGAGATTTTAAAAATACTTTAAGAATACAAAGACAAAATTACTTTAGCTTCAAGGTAGAGAATATTCCAAGAACCGACACCAATTAGTAAACAGAAAACCCATTAAAAATAAAAAATTAAGGTGGCTCAAGGATTAGAAAATGTTTTACCTTAACACTTGGAGATCTTGTCCAATTATTTTGTAAGCATAAATATCCCGAAAAGCCACTAAAAATACAAAAAACAGGGAAATATAGCCGAACCTAATCTTAAATATTTTCGTCATCTAAAACCCCTTAAAACCCCAAAAAAAAATTAATTAAAAACCTTGTCGAATCTTCCATTACTTTTACTCTGCCTCGCTTGCCGAACTTCAATTATTTTATCCTTTGCATATTTTCTCAATTTTCCACGTCTTGCCGATTTTGAAAATTTTCTTTGAGTTTTAATACGTTGACGTTTTGCTTTTTTTGTTGTAGCAAGTGGTTTTTTCATTTCTTTTTTTTCTAAAAAAATTCTAGATTAAAGCGCTTTCCTTTTAAAAAATAATTAATTAGAGATCATTAAACTCTCTCACAAAAAATTTTAAAAATCCAAAAATATAAACAATCACCATATTTATTTATTAAAAAATTAATAAAAATCCCTGATCTGTGAAAAATTGAAAAAATACAATCAAATTGAAAAAAATAGAAAAAAATTTCCAAAAAAAAATTTGGCAGAATCACATTATTTCCCCCACAACCAGTCAAGAAGTATAATTACCAGTAAATTAAATTAATGAAAAATCGAAAAATAAAGAGGGGAACAGGCAATTATTTTTGTGAAAAAACAGATGCTTTATAGCACCAAAGCCATTGACCATTGTAAAATTTTTGGGACAGATAGGAACCAAAAAAATAATTTTACAAAAAAGAAGGGGAGGAGATAATGCGATAGTATTATCAAAAATTTGTAAAAAAATTTACAGGCTTTTTGTGTGCAAAAAATGCAAAAAAATGTCAAAAAAACCTTCTCTCTCTCATTGCTTCTGTAAAAAATTTTAAAAACAGTCATCTTCATATTCTTCCTTTTTAAGTACAAATTCATTTGCTCTACATCTATATTGAAATTCTGTGCGTAATTTCATCAATAAATTTCCCATTTGATTTGAACCTTTCCAATTATCTATGCTTTTTATTTCTTCACCATGCAGACTACAACCAATTCCTTTTTAATAGGAAAAAATTAAAAAAATTTTTTGGTTCAACTTTTCTATTTTTTCTCTTTTCCCCTAATTTTACTTCCCCAGGAAAAGCCGAATCTATCATTAATGTAAGGGGAAATAACTATCTTCGTGGAATATGTACCAAAAATTAATCCCTAAACAAGCCAAAAAAATTCGCCACAAGATGGAATTGAACCTTCGACCTTTCTATAACGAAACACAAACATAACCCACTACACCAAAAATATAAAAAATTTCTAACCAGTAAGAAACCTAGGCAAAAAAAGTCAAGAAATAGGAAAAAGAGGGGATTATGCTTAAAACCCCTAAAAAATTCCACAAAATAAAAAAAAAAGAAATAAAAAAAATATATACCCCAAAACGTATCTGTTTGACTCGCTTCAATAAGTAAAGCCTCTTCAGTTTCAATAAGCATATTAAATAATTGCACATTTTGTTCAAATTTTGCACGTAATCCTGTAAGCATCACCTTCAAAAAAAATTTTTAAAAATTATTTTCTCACAAAAATTAAAAAAAAATTCAACCAACATTTCTTTTAACTTTTCTCCATTTATCATGGTCAAAATCTCTACATTTTAATTCTGCTCCATTTGCTTGTCGTTGCCTCATTGTATCCGCATTTCCAAGTCTTTTGATAGTTGATGGGTCATTGGTTAACATTATTTCTTTGGCAAGTGAATGATAATCAAAATACATTGCTTTCATATACATGTAAAACTGTTCGGAGCAACAATATTCGACTCCTTAAAAAAATTTTTTTTAATCACAACCCACTACACCACAATATCAAAAAATTAAATAAAGACAAATAGACGTTCAAAAAAATTTTTTAAATTAATTTAGTTACTCTTCTGGTAGTTTTTGGAAATATTTAAGTCTTAAAAATAAAAAATAATAATTTTCAAAGACGTGGAATCGAACCCTCGACTATTTTACAAGAAAGCACAAACACAACCAACTAAACCAAAAATTAAGAAAATTTAAAAACTCACTTAAAACCCAAGAAATATTTTTTTCAATAATTAATGTTAAAATTCAAATGACCTCCAGTCCTCAGAAATTCCCAAAAAATCATTTCCTCCTACAAGGAATCGAACCTACAACCCCTCTACACAAAATCACAACCACGATCCACTACACCACAAATTTAAAAATTTTAAACTCGCTCAAAAACCAAAAAATATTTTTCCAATAATTATTGCTAAAATTTAAATGATTTCCAGTCCCCAGAAAATCCAAAAAAATCATTTCCGACTCTATGGAGTCGAACCTTCAACTCCCTACAGAAAATCACAACCCACTACACCATAATATCAAAAAATATAAAAATTAAATAAAAACTAACCGTCAATTTCTATTGGTTTTGGAGTCAAAAAATGATTACTGAATGCAAATTTTTTTGTAAAGAAGCATAGAAAGTCTTGGCCACAGTGAGTTGTTAGACAAATAGGATATGGAGGGGTAAAGTTTTCTAATTAAAAAAAATTTTTTTTTGAAATTTTTAAAATTAAAAAAATACAAAACTGCATTTATTTGACACACGCGGCAAACGAACGTTATCAGAATTTCCTTTCATGACTATTATTGAGTTGGCATCTATTTTTGAAGGGGAAAATAAAAAAAATTTATTTTTTTTCGGGCTAGTTTAATAACTAAAAAATTTTTAAAAAAATTAAGAAAAAAATTTTTAATTAAAAAATATATATTAAGCGAAAAAACGCTTCAGAAAAAAAAACAAAAAAATATATATAATTTTAATATTCATCATTTTAATAAAAAAAAAGAAAGAAAAGTGTGTAGTGCCACAAAAAAAATTTTTTTAATAATATTGAGCAGTAAAACAGCACGAAAAAAAATAAATAGGTATAATAAATGAAAGAAACAAGGGGACGAATCAGTGAATGGATAAAATAATTAATTAAAAAAAATCGGATCAGGGTGGAAAGCAAGAAGAAAATAATTTGGTTCAGGTCTAGTTGACGAGTCCAAATAGATCTTTATGATTTTATCGGACTCATAGACCATAGCTGGTAGAATAAGAGCGTGGTTGCTGGTTAGGACACCAACCAGAGCCCAACTTTTCTCCCATAATATAAAAAAGAAGGGAGAACAGAGCTCCCAATAGACTGATAAATTCAGTCTAATAAAAATTCATAGCGGACTTATAAAGTAGACCAGAGACAAAAAAATTTTTCCGACAATTTATAATAAAGCCAAAAACCCCCTCAAAAAATTCAATAAAATTTTTTAGCCCCTCCAATCCAAATTTTCTCAATTAAAAATTTTATCCATCTTCTCTACAAAACCCGCTCAAAACTATTTTATCAAATCATTGATTTATTACTTTTTAAACATATTTTTTTCACTCACCGCGAAGCATAAACGAATAGACAAGTCCAAGTATAGTTATAGAAAATAATTTCCATTCCGTCTTTAAATTAAAAAATTTTTTCTTTAATTCAAAAAATTGCTAAAAAAACCTTAGGAAAATAAGCATCCCACTTAATTCTACCATCACAATGCTTGGATGCTCGAATTTTATCATCAGATTCTGTCAACACCAAAACTTCGTTTCCTTTGCGGAAGATAAAAGAACCCCTAAAAATTTCAAAAAAATTTTTAAAAATCAAAAAAAATTTTTTCTTACTCATCAGGACGACTTTCATGAGACATTTTTTGTTTATTAGCTTCATTACGTAACCATTCAACTTTATCTACAAGTAACCATTCAGAATCAATTTTGATGTTCTTTTGAGGTGAGTTGAAAGTACTCGCATTGTTGTTCTGTTGTTGCTGATTTATTGAACTACTTGAGAATGCTGATGACAAATGACGTGTAGAAGAAGTGGGCTGTTGTTGAGATTGTTGAGGCTGTTGTTGGGAAGGAAGAGATGAGTTAAACATAGTGGATGAATTGTTGTTTGTGCTGCAAAGAAAAAAGATTTAGAGGCCGGCCGACAACTATTTTTAAGAAACTTATCAAGTAAACTAACAAGGGAAAAAAAGCCCCCAAAAGCCCCCCGGCTACTCCCTTGTCAGATAGTAAAGATTCAGCGGAAGTTCCGGTGTTTTTTGGCTCCGGTTTCGGTCCCCGAAACTCAAATTGGACCCGGTTTCGGTCAAAATTTCGGTTCCGGTTAAACACTAGTTGTTAGAAACACTAGTTATCTCAATTTAAAGATATTAACCGTTTATTTTCAGTCCTCAAATTTTTCCCTTTTCCCAATTTTGTGGGAGTAGGAAAAGGCCCAAAAGCCCCCCGGCTACTCCCTTGTCAGATAGGTATCTCAAGTAATGGGCCCTATCCATACAAATATATAAAAATAAAATTGAACCTAGTTCCTCCTCTTCCTTGTTGTTCAACACGTCCACCACCAAAAATATTCTCGACACTTTTCTCCTTCTCCCTTGGCTTTTGCTGTTCATTAAAAATATTATCATCCTCATCATATTCATCAGACGAATAATTAACAGGATAACGCTTTATTTTTGGTTTAAGTGAAGATGGGTTTGGCTGTTGTTGTGTAGTTGTTGTTGCTCCTTCCATTTTTTTCTGTTCAACCTTAAAAATTAAAAAAAGCTTGAAAAAATATTTTTCTAATTAAAAAACCTTCTCTTGCATAAACTTGTGAATTCCAGCACGATGACCAGACAAACGTGGAGGAGGAACAAAAGTAGTGCTACTGGAAATTGTTGCAGGTTGCGGTACAGGTTGAGGCACAAAAGATGTCTGAAAAAAAGTATTTTTTCCGTATTTTATCTATAGAAAATAATAGAATAATAGTACAACATGCTGATTTTTGTGTTCAGCCGAGAGACAAACCGACGTAAAAATAAATTTCTGACTTTAGAAAAACAGCATCCATTATTTTAGGGAATTGGAAGGACCCTTTCCCTAGTTCAGAGCCAAAAAAAATTCAAAAAATATATTTAAACAAACCAAATTTTCTCCATCAGATTTTTGGTTGGAAATCACATTTTGTTGTCCTTCACTTGCTGGACGTTTAACTGACACAATTTCATCCTCATCATCACCACTCTCTTCAGAATCGGTGAAGTCTTGGCCAACAATACGAGAAGTATAACGAGTCTTTTTCTTCGAAAAAAATTTTCAAGAGTAGGACGAGCCCGGTTAATAACCTCAATTATTTTTCCATGTGGCGGGTTTTTTCTCTCTTTTCCATTCTCTCTTCTCTTTTTGGTCCGTCACAGGGAAAAATAATCGAGACCATTAACTGGGCTCGTCATACTCTAAATTTTCAGCCTAAAAAATTTCCAAAAAAACCTTGTTATCATTTTCAACAGCTTCTCCTTCCACAACTTCATTTTTACCATTATTTACATTTTGATTTATAGGAGTGTCCAATCTCGACGGTTTTTCCATTCCACCTCCAGCAGTTCCTCCTCCACCAGTTCCACTTCCTCCTACACCAGCACCAATTTCATAAGCTGGAACACTACTTTCTTCTTCCCAACCTTTTCTATTATACTTCACTGTAATCTTTCTTTCTTCAGCAATATCAGCTTCTTCATCATTTATCATTTCTGTAAATGATTGTTTTTTGGTTGATGATAGGCCAATTTCTTCTGGGGAAATATCGAATTTTGACCTAGAAAAAAAAGAAAAATATTTTTTGGATGTTATCTTTCCATCAAAAAGGTTCTTTCCCCTCTTATAAATAAAAAAAATATATGGGATATAGGAGTCAAGGTCAAAATAATAAAAAATGTTTTCCTTTGAAGGTGAATGACCAAAGGGAAAACAATTTTCAGTACTTTTACGTTATGGGGCCACACATTTTAAAAATGAACATTCCCTAAAAATGCAAAATATAAAGAGAATATGTGCGACCATTCGCATAAATTAAAAAAAATATTTTCAAGTCTGGTCAATCTTTATCCGCATTAATTATACCTATCGGGGGAAAGGGTTGTCTCAACTACATTCATTGAAAAAATAAACTCCTTATCGTAAAAACGAGAAAATTGAATAAAAAATTATCGAAAAAATAGTAAATTAGGGAAAAATAGTAACGAGACACAAGGTCGTAGCCAGAAGGGGGCTTCTGGGGTTATAGCCCTCCTCTGAAATGGGGAAAATGAAAAAAATTTAGAAGGGAAATGATCAGAAGAGACTTTTTTACGCCTAAAACCCACAAGATTCTCAATATTTTCGACTGCAGCGCTGAAACGCAAATTTTTTTGATTTTCACGTTTTTTGGTTTTCCCGTGAAAATATAGTAAATTACTCACCCACAAATTTAAACCAAAGAAATAAAAAAATACTTTTTAGGTGCAGCATTAGAAGTAGTTGGCAAACTTGGTTGATTTGACGTAGAAACATTATTATTAACATTATTTGTCTGACCACCACCAGTTGGAACATCCAAAGATTTTTTAACAGGTTGAGCAGGAGGCGGTGGTGGAACAAAAGAAGGATAGAAAGGGCCAGTCGGGAAAACCTTTAAAAAATATTTAATGAGACATTTGATCCCAACCAGTAAAAAAATTTTTTTAATTTTTCCCAAACCTTTGGTTGTTTAGGATAATTCGCCTTTGGACGCAAAGCTCTTCCAGCAACATTCTTCATTTGGGCTTTAGCTTCATTATGATTTTGTAATTCTGTCTCGTAGTAATTTAAAAGATCTAAAAAAATATTTTTTTTAATAAAAATTTTAAAAATTAAAAAAAACCATTGTACGGCATTTTTAATTGTAAGAAAAAATGTCCAGGTAAGTTAGCTTGGAATAATTGCAATTCATAGTTAAACAATGTCTCAAGAATTTTGATAGCTTTGTCACGCGTAAACATTCGTTTAAGCGCCTAAAAATGAATTTTAAACGAATAGAAAAATAAGGTCAATTTAAGGTTAAGTTATTGGTAATTTATGGCCGTGGTTCATATACCCTTAAAATTCTGAGCCGCCACATGGAAAGGTTACCCGGCCGCAAAAATCCTAGTTAGGGTTGTTGTTGAACAATTAGGGGCTCTTGTCTGAAAGAATATGAGACATTTGACCCCTCGTACATAATAATTCATGTCCAAAATTCACCAATCAAGCAGCCATATGTAAAAATTAAACGGTTTCCAAGAATCCTAGCTAAAGTGGCAAATGTCCGCAACTTTTATAAGCATCCCCCAAAGCAAGATAGAGTAGATCGGTAAAGGATTCTTACCTACATTGACATAGGAAACGAAAAAATTTAAAAATAAATTTTTAAAATTAAAAAAATAACAAACCTCTCCAGCCAATTCCTCATTATATTTTTCTTTATATTTCTTCTGAACTGATGTCCAACTAACAGGGTTATCTTGTCCTCCCAATTCATAAATCAATTCCGAAATTAATTTACGACCTTTTAATGTAGCCTCTCTATTTTCTGGTAAAAGTGCACGACATAATTTTTCATTTTCCTCTCGAGTTTGACTTTAAAATTGAAAAAGAAATAATTTCATACTCGCGGGTTTTTGCGGATATATTTATGCGGACTTATAATCATAATGGTCTCATAATGGTAAGTGGTCTCATAATGGTCATACTTTTTTGTTACCTATTCAACTGCATCTGAGGAAGTCGAGAAAGTACTAATTTCTTGGGGGAAATATTGGGTATACTATTCTTTTCATTTCTGAACATTATGAGTATCGCAAAAATCAGGTTTAAAAAAACTGGCTTTTCTTTATTTTTTATTCGTACCCATAAGTTCAAAAAAATTTTTAATTAAAAAAAAATTAGTTGGTATCTGTCCAAAAAATTTTTGCGGATGTATTTATAAAGACTCATAATGGTCAGAATATACCTACTTTTCCTTTTCCCTATTCAACTGCAATAGAGGAAGTCATGAGTACTTGGGGGATCATTGGGTATATTTTTCTTTTTATTTCTGACCATTATGAGCCCGCACGAATATATCCACAAACACAGATTTGGGACACCCCAAAAATACCAATAAACCGAAAAAATTTTCAATTTCAAAAAAAATTTTCTTACGCTAGCAAAGTCGCAGCTCGCTCAATTTCTTGTTCATTCCGTATATGGGCAAATCTTTCACAATTTTTCGGCAAAAAACAATGTTTTCCTTCAATTAATTGCAATCTTACATAATCCTTCATCATTTCAGATTTCATAAAAGTTTCGAAATTTGGAAAGCCATAATGTGCCACAACATAATCAGGCAAAAGTCCAGTATCTTTTCTTCAAAAAATTGAAAATGAAATAAAGGTAGTGAACAGGACGGGCCTGTAGCCGGGGGGAAAGCCATGGGGACCCCCCTTGGCCCTCCGCGAAAAAAATCCTGGATAGGGGCCTGGAACAGGATAAACAGAGATGGATCAGGAATGGACCCTAAACCCCGGATTTTTGACATGAAACCCGACCCAAAAACATTTTTCCAAAGCCTGTACATTCTCCTAGTATGTAGCTACATTTATAGGGCCCCGCTAGTTTTCTATAATTCACTCACTAGCGACGGACATTGCCGCATAAAGGGACATCTTTTTGGATGTTTATGAAGCCCCAGACTACTACATCATTAGATTTACAAACCTCAAATCTTCTCTGAGTTCATGCACATTGCAATAACCAATAGGCTGTGAAGCAGAACACTTTTAGTTTACGTTATACAAATTTTTAAAAAATTCTCTTATGGACAAATTATATCATTCGGAAGATTTTCGAATCGGCCATGTCAAGGACAAAGGTTTAGTTCAGAATCATCGAAACAATGAGAATTAGGTTCATTCGACTCATTGTCAGCTCGAAAACGTCTTTTCGAATTATACAAATTTGACCATAAAGAAACCTTTTCCCACTTTATTGTATCACGTTAACTAAATAAAATACCTTTGAAGCCACCGTGTAAACAACTTCTTTTGCAAAATCAGTAAATGGCACATTCATCATACCATAATTGACGTTATCATTGTTAATTGTTGGATCTTGAGGAGCTGGAGTTGAAGTATTGGGGTCGCTGAAAATTTGAAAAATTAGGTTTTTTAAGAACTTTGAGCCTCCTTTCATCACTAATTCCTCATACATACCAGAGGGGCTTGGAGTCCATAGAAAACGGCCCTTAGCCTTCATATATAAAGGCTAAACAAGCATCCCTGATGATCCAAAAAATATGCTATTTCTGATTGATCTTAGGTGATAAGGGCAGAAAAAAGAGTAAATAGACTTAAATCTGTTAAAATCCTAATTCAAAATAAAAAGCACATTTTTCTTTTAAAAAACTAAAAAATCCCAAAAAATGGACTAGACGAAAACACAACCCTAACAATAAGTTCGAAAACCCCCCTATTTTCTCCCCAAAATAAATTAAAAAAAATAAACCCAAAAATATCGTCCTCTTCATCAGGCATAGGAGGCATTCTATTCAAACCAATTTCATCATCTTCCTCCACCTCTTCATAATTGCCAAAATGTCTACTAGGCGGTCCAGGTGGTAAAAGGCCCAAATCATCTTCTTCTTCATCATCCCCAAACCCCAAATCATCATTCTCATCGTTAACTTCCACTCCATAATCTAATCCAATATCTTCTTCATCCTCCACATAATTATTGTAATTTGTAGTTGATACGTGCCGATAACTGCTACTTGGATCATTTGGCAATTCAGCATCAAAAAATGATTCTGACCTTGCCATTATAGTATAAGCTTTATTTAACAAACGAAAAATAGCCTGAAAAACAATAAAAGAATAAATAAAATAAATAAAAATTTTAAAAAACCCGAAAAAAATTCGAAAATTTTCTAAAGAAAATCAAAGAAAAACAAAATTTTCTCCTTATCTCTAATTTAAATTTGTCTCTCTCATTTTTCTATACTCTCTCATAATTACAAAGTGTTAAAAAAACTCGAAAATATCAATTTTTCAAAATACCAAAAAATAAAATGTCCAGAATAATTTATACGACAAAATGTAACAAAGGAAAATTACCGTATAAAATTAACAATTACAGTATGTTTTGACTAGCAAAAAATATTTTTATGAGATCAGAAAGGAGATTAGATATTAATCAGAATTTTGACTCAAAAATTCGAAATTTAATTCTGGAAAAATCAGAATTTTCCGATTAATTAAAATCAAAATTCTGATCAGAAAAAATCAGAATTCTGGGTTTTAATTCTGATATTTTCTGAAATTGTTTCTGAAATTCTGATTTTTAAACCAGAACTCTTATTTTAAAAATCAGAAAAAAATCAGAAAACCAGAATTTTCTGATTAACCAAAAATCAGAATTCTGATTTTAAAAGAAAAGAAATCCTGATTCTAGAATCAGAAATCAGAATAAATTCTGATTTTTTCAGAAATTCTGATTTTTCTGAACTTCTGGTTTTTCTCTAAAATTCTGATTTTTTTTCAGAATTTTTTAAACAAAATTCTGATTTTTTCTAAACATAGTAAATGTTTGTGGGAACAAAAATAATGTTTTTATATTAATCAATTGTTGTTGCTGTTTTTGTTGCTGCTCTCTTATAAAATAATTTTCTATTAAATTTTGTTTTCTTATAAAATTTAAATGTTGTTGCTGTTGTTGTTGTTGCTGTAGATCATTAAATTTTTGAAAATAATTATTTTTGGATATTTTACTAATATTATTTGTAGAAGAAAGATGTCGACGGCTTGTTGTATCATCTTTTTTTTAATTAAAAAAAATTTTTTTTAAAGATTTTTTGGGCAGATTTTTAGGCAGGTATAAAGAAGGGCGGTTTAAATTTGCTTGATTTTTTCTAGTTTTTTATGAATCAGAATTCTGATTTTTTTCTGATTTCTATCAGAATTCTGATTTCTGATAAATAAGAAAATTCTGATTTTTTTTCTGATTTTTATCAATATTCTGATTTTTTAATCAGAAATTCTGATTTTATATTCTGATTTTTATCAAAATTCTGATTTTTGTTAAAATCAGAAATTCTGATTTTTTCCTATTTTTATCAGAATTTTCTGATTTTTGTTAAATCAGAAAATTCTGATTTTTTTCTGATTTTTATCAATATTCTGATTTTTGCTAAATCAGAAAATTCTGATTTTCTTTCCGTTTAAAATCAGAATTTAACCCAAAAATTCAAAAATTTTTGCGGACAACTTTTGCGGACAAATATTTTTTAAATTTATTTAAAAAACCACCTACTTTTCATTAAATTAATTTTATGTAGCTGTTGTTGTTTATCCAAATAATTATTTTTCTGTAAAATAGAACAACACATTTTTGGATTGTTTAATAAAGGAATATTTCCACAATGCAATTTTGGGTTGGGATTTGATGAATGACGATTTCTTTAAAATTAAAATTTTTTTCATAATTTTTAAAATTAAATTTGCCTGCTTCTTCTTGATGAAAACATCATTTGACAACCTTGGACTGTACATCTTTAAAAAAAATTTAAAAAATATTTAATAAATTTGTCCGCAAATATTGTCCGCAAAAAATATTGTCCGCAAAAAAATTTTTGTCCGCAAAAAAATTTTTGAAGAATTTTTTGGTAAAATTCTGATTTTAAAAAACTAGAAAAAATCAGAATTTTTCTTGTTAAACTAAGCTAAAATCAAAATTCTGATCTAAAAATTAAAGGATAACAATATGTGAGAAGTGACATTTCATCCCAACATCACACGATTTTTTAATTTTTGGGATTCTGAAAATTTTCTTGATAAATCCAACTGTATCTCTCTATCCACATACAATTTTTCTTTAAAATCCAATTTCCTTATAGGACAAAAACAGAGTAATAAAAAAATAAATTTCCAAAAATTTTTGCGGACAATATTTGCGGACAAATTTAATTTTTAAAAATTTTCGAATTTTCTCGTAAAAATTTCAGACCATGGAAATGAGGAAATAAAAACAAAAAAAAAACCAAAAAACAGACCCCCTCTTTAAAAAATTTTCCCTAAAATTAAAAAAAAATTCAAACAAACTTATGCATTTCCTTCAAATGTACAGCACTATTATGTATTTTTAATGCCCCTTTATCGCAAAATGTTTTTGAACATTTTTGGCATAGAACACGTTTCTTTTGTAATTTTGACAATTTTTTAAAATTATTTTGTTGTTGCTGTTGTTTATTATTAAAATATTGAAAATTATTATTAGAAATTTTCTGTCCGCAAAAATTTTTTTGTCCGCAAATTTTTTGCGGACAAACTTTTTGTCCGCAAAAATTATTTTTTAAATTATTGTTGTTATTATTTAATAAATATTCTATACTAAATTTTCTTGAAGCAGTAAACATAAATAAATTTTATTTTAAATAATTGGTGTTGAAAATTCTAAAAATGGAAAATTATTTAGGCAGCTCTTCATTTGCGGACACATATTTTTCGGATAATTTTTGCGGATAAACTAGAGATTGAAAAAAACAGGTAAACAATCTTGCTCAGCAACGTGTCCTAAACTCCCTATGGTACTAAAAATTTATTTTTTAAAAGATTCTAATTGTAAGGAAGCTTGGTGTCCGCAAAAAATTTTTCTTTGTCCGCAAAAAATTTTTTTTGTCCGCAAATTTACTTTTACTTATAATTCTAATTTTTTAAAATTTTTTAAATATTTACTTACCCAAATTTTACCAGATTAAAAAAGAACAGAATAATTGACCAATAGAAAAATTCCATGCCTCTTTAATATCCCCCCCCCCCCCTTTTCTCGTCTCCAAAAAAAATTTTTTTGTTTATGGCCATAGTGGGCGGGAAATTTTTTGTTGGTTTTATTGTTGTTTTTATTGTTGTCTTTTACCATTTTTAGAAGAAAAATGCGACGACGAAGGATGGCATGAAAAATCTTTTTTTGTCCTTTCATGTCCTCCTTTTTGCCCAAATTTTTCCTTCCATAGCTAAAAAAATGTCGCCTCCTCACAAGAGTGCTTACTACTATACTCTCGAGGGACCGCCTTCCACACTCTCTCTCTCAATTTTAAATTCCCCAATAAACCTCATTTCAAAAAAAGGGAAACTGTAATTCGAGAGAAAATGGTGGAAAGAAAAAATCAGAATTTAAATCAGAAATTTTCAACCAAAAAAATAAAAATCAGAATAAAAAGAAATCCCATCTCATAGTTAAAATGAGTCTCTCGTTAAAAGAAAAATCAGAACAAAATCAGAAAATTAAAAAAATAAAATCAGAATTTTTAAATACAAATTAGGGTAACTTCCCGAGCCTTCAGGGTCGGGAAGTGTCGGGGATCGGGTTTGGCGGGGAGGGCATGTCGGGGTACGGGAGCTACCCTAATACAAATACTCATCAAAATAGCTTAAAAGCTATTTAAAATTTTCTTTAAAAAATCAAAATTTAATTTTCTTTCTTTTTTTTTTTAAATGCTGCACGCCTATTTAAATTTCTGATTGATATTGTGTGACAGATTTAGTATGTGAATTCTTAAATTTTTTTTAATTTAATGACAGCATCATATATTTTCTCTCTCTATTTAACCAGTCAAACATGAAGAAAATCAAAATTTAATTTTTTCTTTTTTTTTTTTTAATTTTCCGTTTCTAATAAAATTGGCACAAAATAAAAAAGGTTATTTTCTGATATAAATTTACATAATCGTTTTGACTCTGTTTTTAGTGTTTGGCTTTAAAAACCGTTAAGAAAAAGCATGTAAATATTTTAAGAAATAAAGCGGATATATTTAAATACTCACTCTATAAAATTGGAGAGGGGTTTTATTGGTCGTAAAATATTAAAAATATTTTTTTGCGGATATTTTTTTGCGGACATTAACCCTATTGCCAAAAAAATTCTTTGATTGTCCCAGGCATAAAAATAAGCCTAGAGGCATTGGCTCCAATTTCGGTTTTTTATTGCTACAATTATAAAATTAAAAAAAATTTTTTTTGCGGACAATATTTTTTGCGGATAATTTTTGCGGATAATTTTTGCGGACAATATTTTGGGGACATATCTAAATGCAAAAAAAATTTCTAGATAATTCCAGCAAAAAAATAAGCCTAGAGGCATTGGCTCCAATTTCGGTTTTTTATTGGTACAATTATAAAATTAAAAAATTCTTTTTGCGGACAATATTTTTTGCGGATATTTTTTGCGGACAATTTTTTGCGGATATTACCCCTATTGCCAAAAAAATTTCTTTGATTGTCCCAGGCACAAAATTAAGCCTAGAGGCATTGGCTCCCATTTTCAATAGGTTTCGGCTTTGTCCGCAAAAAATATTTGTCCGCAAATAAATTAAAAAATTTATTTGCGGATCTTTAAATTTGTCCGCAAATTTTCCTCCAATTTTTGGGTCACATTAAAGAAAAAAATTTTTTCCAACAAAATTTTACCCACCCATTATTTTTCCCTTTTTTTCACACTTTTCAACACATTTTTTAAAGAAATGCCTAGTTACAAATATCCTTCCTTGTGTGATTGTGCCAAGATTAATGGGGGGAGAACTATAGGAAAAATGTGATGACAATGTGCCTTTCTCTCCTGACAGTCACATAAAAAATTTTTTTTCTAGACAACCACTACCCCATTATTTCCCCCAAAAAACACACATTTCTGTCTCCCATTTATTTTTCGATGATTGTTTTTTTCTGTGAAAGGGGAAGCAAGGGAGTGTCCATGAGCCAAAGTAAAGCAGTTTAAAAAAGAATAATGTGCCACATACATATCTTCTGATAGGAAAAATTTTTTTGGGAGCCGTAGGTTTCAATTAAGGGTTTGTCGGATCCGGACGGATATCCGAATTCAAAGAAACAGGATATTTTCGGTTAATTAAAAAAATATTTTTGCGGACAATATTTGCGGACATAAC